CTGTGCTGTGTTTGGGCCTAGCTCATCACACAAAGTTCTTGATCACCTGACAGACAGGTGATCATGGGCCGTACTTCCTAAGCATCTTTTCTCTCAGGGATCATAATTTTGTGAAATGTAATGTCCAGAGTCTGAAAACCATTATTTCATATATTTGTGTATTTATGGTATGACACAGTGATAGTTATCAGTTAGTATAGTATTATGCAGTAAGCCAGATGACTGCTAAATAAAAGTACACAAATTTGATATTTACCCATAGGTCTTTCAATGCATGGTAGCAGCAGGGGCTCCTGATTCCTCACAGAAATGTCCCTACTGTTCTTAGGGATATTCATTTTCTGACTTTTATTCACTCATATACAAGTTTGTCCATTCCATCAATAAACATTGAGAGTCTACAGTGTTCCAGGCACCTTTCTAGGTGGGAGGGACGCAGTGCTGGGCCACAGAAAATGTTACTGCCTTTATAGAGATTATTTCCTGGTAGAAATTATTCTAGCCTGACTCCAAAGCATTGCTTCTGCAGGTGTTTCTCTAAGTAGTGACTTGATAGAGAAATACAGAAAAATTGATAGAGAATACAGAAAAATTATAAATTTATAATTAGAAACTTTTTGCTTGGTATATGTACTTTACATGCACTATGTGATTTAACACTATCAATAAGGAAGGCATTTTGTTAGAGATGAGGAAATAGGCAAATTCTTGCAACTCTGTCACACAGATCATGAACACCAGGTGGGACTCTAACTTAAATGATCTGACCTTGCTCCTATAGTCATCGCCACTGCACTGCCATATTTCTGAGAGAGAGAAAGAGAGATAAAGGAGAGAAATACATCAGAAGTGTGGGTATAAACTGTAATAGTTTCCAAGCAAAAAAATAACAGCTTTGCTGGGCGTGATGGCACACGCCTGTAATCCCAGCACTTGGGAGGCTGACAGGAGGCTCACTGCAAGTCTGAGGTCAGCCTAGGCTACATAGTGAGTTCAGGGCCAGCCTAAACTACATAGCAAGACCCTGTCTCAAAAAACCAAACTAAGACAAAACAAAACAACCCCCTCAAAAAACCCCAAAACAACAACAACAAGAAAATAGTTTTATTTTTAACAGAAGTCAGCTCAGTGTCTGAAGGTTGTAAGCAGATGGATTGCTTTAAGAGAGATATAAGAGGAGACAGTGAATGGGTTAGCGTATTTAGGCACAATTTTTTTTTCCTTTTTCCCAGATGACTGTGAGAAAAAAGACAGCACTCTGCGTTTTGAATTAGAAAAAGAACAGAAAGCCATTCTGAATTAAGGGTGTTAGGGTTCCTCGGAGAAGCTAAAAAAGGGAAGTGGAAGTGATATTACACTAGCCACTCCCAACTCATGTATGGAGAACACTAGTTTCACAGATGCTTCTAGAAAAAATAAACCAGTCTTAAAGTTGATATGGACACTCAAATTTACATTATTTTGTATAGAGAATAAAGTATAATTAAGAGAGTTAGCCATATATGTCATCATGGCTTTAAGTTATTTTAGTTATCTTTTTCTGGGGAGTCATAGTTATTAACAAGCCATCTTGACACTTCTAGACAGACAATACTTTGTAGACAGTATCCATGGAGCGTCTAGGGCTCTCAGCAATTTTCTTTTTATTTTATTTTAAAAAGGATAAAACAGAATAAGACCAATCAAAACAAACCAGTGTAAGTAACACAGGACTTCAAAACATTATGAAATCAACAATAATTACCATAATGCCTCTTGATGTCTTCAAAATAGTTGCAGATACCTTCAGACATAGTAAAAATCAAACAGAACAGAACAGTATAGAATAGAAACAATAAAAACAAAACAATGAATGCAATAAAGGCTTCAAAAGAAGCCAACAGGAAATCCAAAAGTGCTACCATTATATATCTTGCTATCTTCAAACTGCTGCTCCTGCCATCAGATCTGACATAATCAAACAAAACAAAAGACAATAAAACCCAACCCAACAAAACAATGGAAATGATACTTCCAAAACAAGACTATAGGGAATCAACTATGGCTACAACCCTCAGAAGGAGACCCCCTAGATGTCACACTGCATACCACTCTCCTCTGAACCTGTGATCAGATCACTACTGGCCTTAGACCTGCAAATGTTGGTGAAACACCAGCACCACAGGCATCAAATTGCATTTCATCCACAGCTATCATCACAGTCTGTGTTTTTCCAGATAAACTGGTCACTTACAGTGAGGAGTGGGGTGGGGTGGAGTGGGTGGCTGGGTTGGTACTTCTTGTTTGCCAGCCCACATGCTAGAAGGGACTGGGGTCTGGCTGTCCCAGTTCGGTGGCAGCCCGTGCATGGCATTGGTTCCCAGACTGGGCTTGCTTCCTGGTTCTTCTCTCTACCCCCAGTCCACGAATGTCCTCTAAGCAATTCTCTTATGGAGACTAACCTGACTTTAGCAGGTCTAGTCCCTGCCTGCCTTATTGGTGAATCACGGCAGAGGATGACCTCTTGTGTACTCACCGCCCTCTGCCCTTTGTTTTCTATTGGCTCCAGATGCTACGAAGTCCTTCCCCATTGTAGCTGAGGTCTGCAATGCTAGCATTCACTTTGTACGCTCAACGTAATTTCATGGTAGCAAAACATCATACAGAATTCCTGGTCATCCCTCTCACAGTGTTTGTAGCTTTTGTTGTTTCCTACAGTTCCTTGTTTTGGGTTTCTAATCTCTGATTATCTGGGGCATGATCGTTATTCTGTATTATTTTTGTCTTTCTCTCTTCTGCCCAGCTGTGCTATCCTATTTTCCAATATCAGTCTTTCAAATTCTCCTCTTACTTTCTTACTATGTACTTAACTCTGGTAGCCGAACAAGTTTGGCTGTACAGTTTAGAATCTAGCTGGTTATGTCTAAACGCAATACTTTCTGGGTACTGTTATTTACCTCCCCACCTCCATTTCTCTAATAGTGTGAAGTTTTCCAGAGGCGATATGACTCAAAGTAATGTAGCAGATTGAATGCAAAATCCAAAATCCACCTGAATTCTATAAAGCCATTCATTAGACAGGCTTGCTTTTAAGGGAAAAACGGCTTTTCTTTATCTGTCTATAAGTATCTATTATGCTCAACACATTATTAAAGACTATAAGCTTATGAGGTGTGGTGGCACACACCTATAATCCCAGAAGTTGGGAGGCTGAGATAGGAGCATCACCATCTGTTTTAGGCTAGCCTGGATTACACAGTGAGACCCTGTCTTAAAAAAAAAAAAAGTATACAATAGTTTAAAATAAGCTAAATAAATGCAATGATTTCTACTGACCTATTATTTTTTCTTTTTCAAAAAGGCAAGTTCCATGTTAAGGATCATACCTCTCTGCTGATTCGTTAGTCAATGTCATTGGCAAAGAAGGTTTTCTCTTGATTTTGCTATGCTCAAATAAATGTCTATCAGGGTATTAAAAGGTATTTGAACAGAGAAATATTAATTCATTTCTGGTTTTCTCTGCTCAGCAGAATTAGAGTATATTTCTTTTTGAAATTTAAGAAAAGAGAAGACTCATTTTTAAAAGTAGTACTCTTTTCTCCTGTAGTCAAGATATTGATGGCAAGCTTTTCATTTTTCCACTTAGCCCTTGACACTCTCTTCTTGAATTCATATTGACTGCATCTAAATTTTGCTTCTGAGTGTTTCTTTTCTTTTCTTCAAGGTATATCTTTTAATAGACTTTTAATAGTAAGACTTATTAAGTCTTACTAAACATAATCATTATGTATACCTATTTACCCTGTTCTCCAATATGAAAAGGCTAATATTAATATTAACTCATATAAGTTATGTGTAATTAAAGTTTTCAAAACCTAATTAATGTTAATTACTGGAAATGACTTAGGTTCTGTGAAAAACTCAATTAGCATGTACATCTTTCTTTGTATTTGATATGATTTTGAAGGTTTTCAATTTAGCATAGGTAAGAAGTTACAGGTAATAAAATACTATAGATATACTATCTCACTTCTTAGGAAGGCAAAATGCAAAAGAGATATACAAATAGATGCTTATATTAATGCACCCTTTTGAAAATATGTTTTATAGAACTTGAAACTGATTGAAAAACTTGAAATAGGTGACTAATTCACAGCTCTAATTGGGCAAGAATGAATAAGTTTCCTAAAACAGCACTAAAATGCAACAGTACAGATAATTTATTTCCTGGTTTCCACTTCAGATCATGAACATTAGACCCTGGTACCAAGAGACTGGAAACACTCTTCACCCTGTATGAAAGGGACAATCACTAGAAATTATGCCCTGAGTTATGAACAGAGTTTCTCATTTTCATTAGAAACTAGTTTTGGTTTTATTTTTTGCTTGGGAATGTGTGTTTTCTTAACCTATAGTGAATTCAATTTCTCTCCAAAAAAATTACTGTCTCCTTAATTATTTGAGTTGGCTGAAACCTAACTCTTCTTTCAGACCTGATATATCAAGTTCAAAATGGTTCTCCAAAGTTGGGCTCATGTGTTCAGTATAAATAAAAGCTATTTCACATGTTATCCTACACAGATGGGTTTAGTTGCTGAGAATGTTTTTACTAAAAGATGAGCTGCTACTAAATAACCTTCTGAAATTAAATTATTTCAATTTGTTATTTTTTGATATGCAACCGTGTTTTGAATTCATAAAGTTACTCTTCACCCCAGGATTTAAAAGGTTCACTCAAACATAAATCCATTAATCTCCTACACTGTCTTATGAAGTTGAAAGAGTACATTCTAACGATGCATACAAAATACTTCCAGAACGAGCTTATAAATCAGTCATGTTTTCAGCCATATGCACAGAAGACTACAATTCTCCATCTTCCTAACAGAGAAACTAGAATATTTCATACAGAGGCTACTTTTAAATAATCTCAAGGAAGCATTTTTGTATTCTTTTAAAAGATACATTTAAAAAGTAAATAGTGGCAGATGAGATTGCTATAAATTCTGAATGTGGCTTACCTATTAATGTAACTGAGAGCAACATAGGTTGGCTGCTGTAATTCTTGTTTTTCTAAAACACGTGGATCTGTATCTGCAATAAAAACACAATTATGATTTTTCAAGTTTTGCATCAGAATATATGAGGTTACCTAACTTAAAGTAACAGAGGATAAACAGAGAAAAAGATTAATTCAGAATACCTCTTTTTAAAGAAAACTCTGCAAGCACATTTGTTCATTCATTCATAAATAACAAGATATTGCATTACTTTTCAAGGGAATTCCAAACATCAACAGTGATAAAATGCCCATCTGTCACACAAACTCTTGCACAATCCCCCTCATAAATATTGGTTTTCACTGCTTACAGTTACAATGTTGGCATGGTTTTCAGTGGTTAATCGGCCTAAGAAAGAGAGTCTCTGTTAATTATGCTCACTTCAATGCTGGAACAAATTAGTTTCCATTGGAAAGCTCCATCAATTTGAAATTCTACTGAGTATTGTTCTTGTTCACTGAACACTTTTCTGAGTTTGGATTCACATTCTGGAGGGCACTTCTTCTCCTTTTAAAATGTATAATGAGTTTATTATAACTTTTCTAGACTCTGAATCAGAAATTCTCATACTGGTTCAGAGTCAACAAACAGCACATTCACCAGAGGGGTTTTCCCTTCAAAGAGGCAGAATTCAGCACCATAGCAACGCTTCATAATGGCGCTTCTCTAGCACAGCACCCAGGAATGTACTTCTCGCAACCAGAAACAATCTCAAGCTTATCCGATGAAGAAATTGCATAAATATATGCAAACACAATGTTTACATAATATCAGCATAAATGGAGGAAAGTGACTACACACTGTTGTTTTCTCAGAAAAAGGTTCAGACATTTCCCACAGATTCCTTTTCGGTGTAACCTTGTCTAAACCATCACATCATTAGATGCCTTCCAGCTGCACTAGGCAGTAACACCTCTTTTGATGTCATGACAGATGCTGTTTCAAGCACCTTTATGCAGGAAGTGTCTGCTGCATATAGTAGATGTGAGATACACGCACCAACTCCAAAGGGCAGTAACGGGCGACAGAAAAAGGAGCAGACAGAATGGCAGAGAACACAGTGGCAAAAATGATAGCGTAGAAATTCATTTACAATGCTTCTGACTCCCAGAGTAAAGACTAAAAGTGCACAGCAGGGCCAGTGTTATTCTTAGTGTTAAAATTAAGAATCTCATGTTCATTTTATTGTTTTTCCAATGCCAAGAATTTCAGGGACGCACTATTCAGAAATCCTGCTTTCTTGGTTCTTTGCCATTACAAGTCCTTGAAAGCCAAATTCTGAAACTAGAGACAAAGATTCTCTGCATGGCTCCATCAAGTCGGGTCTCAAAGTTTTGGCAGCACAAGTGAGAACAGATCAGTAACTCAGCATTTCCTCTCAGTTTTACCACAATTACTTATGCAATGGATGGGGCTCTTCCATCGCAGGTGTGGGGATAAAGCAAGCTACTCTGTAAGTGAAGGAAAGCACTCTTTGAGGGAAACTTAGTTTTGAAACACGTCCCTTATTACTCATGTAAGTTTGCTGTAACCTCAGTGTGCGTCTACCTTTCTCTGAGGCATGCACTCGCTGGAGAGGAGTTACTTGAACTATGCTCACTAGGGAAAGGCCTTTTGTCCAGAGAAATGGCCCACTGGTGTGCTGGGCAGGCCAGGGGTGCACACCGGGACTGGCATAGTAATCCTGCAGGGTCTTCCCAGGCGCTTAGTGAGGTAAGACACAAGGGACTGGAGATAAAACCCAAGAAAGTGAGGAAGAAAAAGATAAGAAAGAACAAGGCAGTGATTGCAAACGGTCCTGGTCCTCGTAGATAATTGCTCACAAAATGGCCTACTTCAAGTTTAACTATTAATGACTGAGGAGTTCTGCTTTTAAGACAAGAGCCATGCCTTCAGAAGGCATATTGTTTTGAAGGAAAAGCACCATCCCGAGCCTAAAATTTGTACATAAAGGGGTGAAAAGTTTAAAAAGCCAATAAATGTTTATAACTTCTGTCTTTGTTCTTGTAACTGACTTCCAGTCTGTTATCTCACAAACAACCTTCTAAAGCCTTTAAATCTCAAATTAATAATTTTTTTTCCTTTTCTTTTTTTTCTTCTCCTCCTCCTCTTCCTTTCCTCTACCTTTCCCCGTCTCATCCTTTTTCTTCTTTTTTGTGTTGAGGATAGAATACAGGGCCTCATACATACTAAGTGTGTACTAAGTAAGCACTCTACTACTGAGAAATATACTCAACTCTTCAAATTATATAATTTCTAAAGTATTTAATATCCATTACTTTTCTAAATTACACTAATTATTTTATCTTTCTCTTTTATTGGGTGTGTGTGTGTGTGTGTGTATATATATATATATATATATACACACACACACAGTGCCAAAAAGAAAAGAAAAACTGATATAAATACTTTAATAATAAACTTTTTGAAACATTATTAGATTAATACCAGTTACTTTGGGCTTCTATAATTAAAACAGGTGCCTAAAGTGGTGGCCATTAGCTTCCAGATATTTATTAGTATGGTGAACCGCTGCTTGGGTAACTTTGGTCACTGAAACTGCTGTTAATACATTCTCAATTTCTTCTCTAACGGTTGGCAGTGCAGTGGCTTTTTTGTGATATATGACATCCTCTAGAGTCCCCCATATGAGGTTAACTGTTGAAAAAACATCGTATTTTTCTTTTTCTGCAGTGTGTATACATGTTTCTGTATCTATCTATCTATGAATACATTTACTGCACTTTGTTTTTATACTTCGGATTATGAATGTTTCTCACAGGCCCCTATCTTAAAGGCTTGGTTCTGGGCCCGTGGTGGTACTGGGAAGAAACCTTTAGGAGGTGGGGCCCCTTGGAAGAAAGTTAGGTCACGGAGAGGTGTGTCCCTCCTCTCTCTGCTTCCAGGCTAGGTGAGGTAAACAGCATTCTTTGTCACGTGCCCCCTTCCATAATCTCCTGCCTCACCACAGACCCAAGGGCAACAGATCCAAATGACCATAGACTTAAACTTCTGAAACCGTGGGCCAAAACAAGCATTGTTTCCTTATAGATTATCTCAATTATTATGTCACAGTAAAGGAAAACTGAGTAATGCAAAAATCTCTAGTAAGTCTTCGTGAAAGGAAAAAGAAGTTCTTTATGTAAAATTCTGAACTTTATATTAAGTTCTCTTATGCTCAAATAAATGGTGACAGGCCCTAACATTCACAAAATTATATCATAATCTTATTTCAGGAATAATCAAGAATGTTCACGATTCTATTGCAAAGCAAGATTTTGAAATTTCATTTTATTTTCTTACTTTGCTTTATCATATTCCATAATATATGCTAGAAGATTTATGCTCCCAAATTCTCAAATCTTAAGTGAGAGACTTCTGGAAGTTTTCAAATGTTGCCTTCTCCATAACAAAAAAGATAACCTAAAAGCACTTTAGAATTTAGCTTTTTTTCTAATGCAAATGTTGGTAACCAGTAAAATGGAAGAACTTCCAGACAGACATCCATCAGGCCTACCTCTCCTTTTTGAGGTTAAATGTTTCCTTAGATGACCGTTAGAACATTCACTAAAGCTTTGACTTTTTAACATGAAATGTGGCATTTGGTGCCCACAGAGAAGAGAAGAGGCCAGCAAAGTGCTACCAAGACCAAGAGCATCAACTCAACTGCTGGTCTCAATAAACATCAATTCCGTCACTCACTTCCTGGCGGGCTGCTGTGCGGTAATCATGACTCACCATTTTATAGATTTAATTATACTCTTGAGCTCTTCATATTCAGTAAAAATATAACAGCTGCCTTTATTATTTCTCCCTCCCAACAGAACTGTAACTGCCTGATACTAAACATTCTCTACACGAGGGATCTGTTTGAGAGACAAGACTAGGATTTTCACAGTAGGACCGTTTCCCCAGGTACCACACAGTGACACTCTCCTTGTAAGGTTTAGAAAGATAGAAGGAACATTATCAGACTGAACTAGAGACAGTCTCACTGTCTCCTGGATACTACTGAATCAATGAAAAATGTCCTTATATTGTGTTGCCAATATCATTGAGGGAATTTTCTGCATATGGTAAGTTGCTACAACAAGGAATTTAACATGAAATAAAATGACCAAAGCATTTATGTCTCCAGGTATTTCTCTAGTCTGTTTGTTCCAATAAAATGTGGAACTGGAACACTGATTATGGTTGTCTGCAGAGAGAATCCACAGTGGTCTGTGGACAGAAACACTTGGATTTTTCATAGCCAGCTGATGCTCCTTAAGCTGGAAATTTGGCAATTTCTATAATGTGGCTATCCACAGCCACAAGAATACCACTCTACCACTTTTATATCACTCTGAAATGACAGGTAGAGGCACTCAAAATTTTCCAGCATGCAGAGAAAAGCTAAACAGCACTGCCAGAAATTCTGCCACTGTTTCTGCTTTAAGCCACCCCTACTCACTGTCTTCTTTGCCTGGGTATAATCTTCAAATTAACTGAAGGCTAAAGAATTCAAACATTAAAATGCATTTGAAAGTACACAAGTGATAAAAACCTATCAGCTTACTTCAAAGTTTGTAAAACAGCATCCACTAAGCAGACGGCAATATACTTTCTGTCACTATCACCCTGGAGGTAATATTCTGAACACACAGCTCTATTAGGACTCAGCTATTAACACCAAACTCAGGTACAAGTACAAACTTGCCACAGGTCACGTGATTTTAGGGGCTCATCGTTTTATAGACTCGAATTTCAAAAGGCTCTGCTGTCACAGCACTGGCTCCCACTGCTCCTCAGGCAGCAACAAAAAGTGAGAGTAGCAGAAACTAGGAAAGGAACATTCAGAACCCCTTTCATTAGGAACTGGAATTCTAGGTGATCAAGGAAAGCTAGACACCACAGACCACCCTGTTCAATCCACGAGGCTCATGTTCATCCAATGTGCTATATCTCTAGCATGGGAAATGAATGCAACCAAGGGTCTAGTTTGCAACATTTCTAATAAGCAGCCTTTTGTAGTGTACTCTTCGGTCCTCCACA